GCGCTCTGCCCTCAGCCAGCTGGCTTTACGCATCCCCGAGATGAAGGACACGTCCATGGAGAGCGTGGGGCAGCCGCTGAGCAAGGTGATGGACAGGCTCAACGGGCAGCTGGACCCTGGTGGCTGGAACGCCCCCCTCGAGCCCCCCGGGCAGTCCTTTCGGACTGGCACGCCAGGGGAGACCCCGGATGGATCGTCCTCTGGCGACTTTAGTGAGGGGATTTCAGCCCCCATGGACTTCTACCGCTTTACCGTCGAGAGTCCAAACGCTGCTGCACCAGGTGGTGGCCACCATGACGCTCCAGGGCCTGGCCAACCGCCACATGTTTCTGGTAGCCCTAAGGCTCCTGAAGAAGAAGAAAGCAGAGAGGGAGAAGCAGCTGGGGCAGTAGAGGAGTCTGGAGGGGCGAGTGATGAACCCCAAACTGGCCAGACAGAAACCGCCAACCCCCAGGCTCTCCGCGAGCCGAAGAAGGAGCAGCCCAGCCCTTCCCCGAGCAGCGCCGAGGACTCTGGCGTGGAGGAAGGGCAGGGCAGCCCTTCGGAGCTGACCCATCCCTCCGAGTTCAGGTGAGGCTGGGTGTGCTCAGCAGGGAGAGCATCTTCCACACAATCTTGAGCTCAAGCTGTCGCTTTTCCCTTTGTCCCTGGTTTGGGGGGCAAAGCCCATCCTTTTCCAGGATGAAGATGAGGCACAAGGGGTCAGGAGGAGAAGGTCTTGGGGGCCAAGAGGTGCCCAAACCATGGACAAGTTCAATGAGGAAGGCGATTGCCCTTCCTGGGCTCACCCAGCCCCATGTCTGTGTCCATCCTCTACTGCCTCTCTTCACAGGGTGGATAACAACCATCTCCTCCTGCTGATGATCCACGTCTTTCGGGAGAACGAGGAACAGTTGTTCAGGGTAAGGTGGTCACCATCTCTCTCCCCTGAAGGACCGGCTCTGTGCCTGATTCAGCTGTGGGCTGAGCGCTCTTTTCTCTCTGTGCAGATGATCCGAATGAGCACCGGGCACATGGAGGGGAACCTGCAGCTGATCTACGTCCTGCTGACAGATTGCTATGTGTACCTGATCCGGAAAGGTATCCCGTCCCAACAGCCTCTGCGCTCAGCTGCAGGGAGGGAGGCCTGCTTGATCTGTGGTTTGCCCATAAATTAGGGCACCACAGCTCACTACCTTCACTGCCGGTTCCCTCGTGTCTGCCAGAGCAGTGGCAGTCACGGTAGGGAGCTCAGGTTGACTTGTCCCCCGAGGAGCCCTGGGACACGTGCCCCGTGGCTCCATGCTGCCTCGGACATGGCTTGGTTTGCAGGTCCGACGCTGCTGCTGCACAGCGGCCCGGATCCGGGCAGCGCTGGGGTCCTTTGCTCCCCTTCACTTGCCTCTTTGTGTCTGTGCCAGGGGCAGCGGAGAAGCCGTACATGGTGGAGGAGGCCGTTTCCTATAATGAGCTGGACTACATTTCGGTGAGCGCAGCCTGCGTCGGGTCAGCCCTCCTGGGGGGAGCAGGAGGCGAGTCAGGGGGTCGGTCCTCACCTCTCCGGCCGCAGTGGTGTCAGGAGCATCGCAGTGGGGTGTTTCTGTGGGGTGCTCTGTCCCCAGGGAGCATTTTGGCCAGTGAATCTTTGAGACTGGGAGACTTAGAAGTGATCCCCCCTCAAATGCCACCTCTGCGGCTGCCCAGCTCGCTCCTATCTTCACATGGGCAGCAGAGCGACCACTGACCTTCTCCCCTGGGGCCAGAAGCCAGGTTCGGCCCTGCTTAGCCACCCCTCGTCCCCCGCCTGGCTTCACTAACCGGTCATATGTGGCACAGGTTGGGCTGGATCAGCAGACGGTGACTCTGGTGTGCACCAATCGGAGGAAGCAGTTCCTGCTCGACACCGCAGACATGGCTCTCACCGAGTAAGCAGGGACCGGGCGGTGAACCGTGGTGCTTTCCTCCCGGGGTGCGGGACCTCTCGCCGGCACCTTGGACTCCCGGCGTCACCTGGGAAATGCAAGAGACTCCGGGGACAGCCCTTCATGACAAAGTCCTGCAAGCAGAGGGAGTTTGGGGTTTGGTTTGATGCCACTGGCTAAACCCTGCAGGCACTGGCTGACGCAGACCACCTGTCCTTTGTATCACTGGGATGAGTAGGGATGAGGGTCTTGAGTTTCAAGGCACGTCCCCAGGCCTCTCTGCGTGTTGTCAGCTCAGGGAGGTGACCTCTTTAGGGCCTGGATGGTCATACTGGGATCTGTGTTAGGATGGGTGTCCATCTCCCAGTCTCACCCATCTCTTTCCTGGAGCTCAGGCTTTGCAACTCCCGTTGCCTTTGGTCTGTAGGTTGATTTCAAGACCCTTTGGTCTGGAAGACCAGAGGCCCACGTTGAAGGGAAGCTCTCGGCATGAGAGCGTGTGAGGGAGATGAGGGGCTGTTTGCCCTGGCCTCCTCAGAGATCTGTCTCCCTCTCAGGTTCTTCCTGGTCTCCTTGAAGTCAGCCATGATCAAGGGGTGCCGGGAGCCACCGTACCCCAGTATCCTCACGGATGCAACCATGGAGAAACTGGCGCTCGCAAAGTTCGTGGCCCAGGAGTCCAAGTGTGAGGTGAGTTTGGATATTGCAGCCATCGCTACATGTGGCGGAGGCTTAGGGAGACTCCCTCCCGTTGACGACTCCGCCTGATTCTCACAGGCCTGCAATGTGGTTGTGCGTTTCTACGGCCTCGTTCACTGGGAAGACCCCATGGACGAGGCGCTGGGACCCACCAACAATAGCTACACCTCCGCCGAAAACGCGGTCACCAAGGACGGCATCCTGCACTACAAGGCAGGGACCTCCTACCTGGGCAAGGAGCAGTGGAAGACCTGCTTCGTGGTGCTCAGGTGGGCGCCGGGGCTGTGGTTGGGACTGGGGTCAGCCAGGGCTTGTTGGAGAAGGCACTGGGACCAGTTTGCTGCCCAGGAGCTGCTTGGGAGATGGAGGGGACCCATCTTGTCACCTGGGAGGCTAAAGCCACCAGTTGTGGCTGCCCAGCAGGAGGAATGCAGCCCCACAGGACTGCATGGGTGGAGGGCAGGGCAGGAGGGCCTGCGGGACCGAAGGCAGAGGGTGTTTGTGGGGTTGCCAGAGCCAAGCTGACTCCGGTTACCACCTCTCATCTTCCCAAACGGCAGCAACGGGATCTTGTACCAGTACCCGGACCGCACGGACGTCACCCCTCTGCTCTCCATCAATATGGGGTAAGCAACCAGTAGGAGGTAGCACCCAGGTTCGGCAGGGATCTGGGGATCAGGAGCTCCTTGGGATGTTCAGGGAGGTGTTTCAGGGCACATCATGATCTAGTCCGTGCCGCAGGACTCCCTGCTTGCTCCTGGCTGAGGACGGAATCCCATTTGCTTTGGCTCTGGTGCGTGTAGCTGGAGATGGGCTCGTTTCCTCCTGGTTTTTGCATGCCAGGCCCACCCTTTGATGGGGAATTGGCCTCTGAAGGGCTGACGTACCCCTCCAAGGGCCACGCTGGGTGGCCTCCGCAAACCCACCGTGCTCAACTCCGGCTCTACCACGACGCGCAGAGATGGAGGGCGTCCTTGGAGCCCCCGCAGGGGGTGTCACAGATGGGAAACGAGTGCTTGTGGGGGAAAGGGGTGACGTGCAGCGCAGGGAGGGCAGGCGGAGGCTGTTTTCAGGCCAGCGCTGGCCCGTCCGTCCCGCTGATCTCCATCCTCCCCCCTCTCTCCCAGTGGCGAGCAGTGCGGGGGATGCCGGCGCTCCAACACCACCGACCGGCCCCACTCCTTCCAGGTGATCCTGACGGACCGGCCCTCCCTGGAGCTGAGTGCCGAGAACGAGGAAGACATGGCGGACTGGATGCAGTACTTCTGCCAGGCTGTCTCCAAAGGGGTGAGCTGGGGACAGGCCCCCAAGTGTGGGTGCATCAACCCCCTCCTTTGCCCGGAGCCCCTTTGGGGCACAGAGCTGCCGACGGGAGCAGGGATGGAGCAGGCAGTTTTCTCCCGAGCGAGGAGGGCTTCCCCACGGGGTACCCCATGGAGACGGGGCTCCTTCATGCCAGATTTTAATTCCCCTTTCGCCACCCCATGCAGGTGATCCCCCAGGGTGTTGCCCCTACGCCTTGCGTCCCCTGCTGCCTCGTGCTGACGGACGAGAAGGCTTTCACCTGCCACGAGGACTGCCAGACAAGCTTCTTCCGCTCGCTGGGCACCGTGGAGCTGACGGACATCACCGCCATCTCCACAGAGGCTGGCAAGGAGTACTGTATCTTGGTAAGCACGGTGCTTCGGGGCCGGACGGCCCGGGGCTGGGCAAGGACGGGGTGGTAACGCCTGGTCTCTCTCTTGACGTTTAGGAGTTTGCTCAGGACCGCAAGCAGTTCCTGCCCCCCTGGGTCCTCTATTTTAGTTGCACTACAGAACTGGAGAGGTTCCTCTCGGCGCTGAACGCTGCGTGGAGGAACATCTACCAGGTGAGCGTGCAAGGCTGCGTCGCACCCTTCCTCTGGCAAGGAAGGGCGAACGGGGCCAGCGCCCTCCAAGGAAGGAGTGGGTGAATTTTTCCCTGCAGTGTCCCCACAAAGGGCAGGAGAGCCACAGAGCTCCTCCGCGTCCATATAACTGTGGGATGTGGGATTCGGAGCTCGAGTCCCCTGGCGAGGCGGGCGCTGAGCATCCAGGGCTGGCAAGGGAGTGGGGAGGAACCTGGGTCAGCCCTGTCCCCCTTCGTCACCCGTACTTATGACACAGGCGCCTTTTCCGTCTGTTTTTGAGGTGGTTTTACAACAAGGGGGAGGAGCGGCTGTCGTTCGTTCCCCTCCTGACTGCCCCACACACGTGTTTCAGGTCGACCTCCTGCACAAGGCCATTCTGGATGCCGCCGTCAAGAAGAAATGCGAAGACGCTCAGAGCCTCATCGACAGCGCCTGGCAGCGCAGCGACAGCCTCTGCCGCGGGAGAGCCGAGCGGGACCCCTGGTGTTAACCCAGGCCGGGGGGGAAGGATGGCTGACAGGGGTCTGTTTTTGGAGAGCAGGGCCCGTATCCAGCTGCCCCGCAGCCAACGGGTGCCCCAAACCCCTCCTGCCATCGCTCGGTCCCCACCAGGAACGCGCCTGCAGGCGTGGACCCCGCACCCCACCACGCTCCTCACCAAGTCGGGGACGGCCGGAGTGTTTAGGGGAGCAACCGGACGCTTCACCACGCTGGAGGCGAGGCTGAGCTCGGCTGCTTTCCTTGTACAGCCGCGCAGGCGAGCCCGCACCCTCCTCCTCGTCCAGCTGCCAAGGGGCAAAATAATTTGCCGTTCACAGAATAATATCGCGCTAGTCGTGAGGGAGAGGGGGGAGCAGGGTGGGCTGGGGATGAGCGTCCCCCTGTCGCGGCGGGGCGCGGGACTGGGGACTTGTTCATTTTAGAACAGGGCAGGGGTGCGGAGGTGGCGAGACGGGAACACTAAATCGCTACCGTGCATGTTTTCTCCTTGCTAATACAATCACCGAGTACGGCACCGCTTCGCCGCCTCCTTCTCCCGGCATCTTCCGGGGCCGCGTGCCTCCGGACATCACGAAACCACTCCCCAGCCTGTCGCTGAGATTTGAGGCCAAGGAAGAAGGACCAGGGCCAAAAAATTTGGCCTTGAATATCCCAGTGCGGTTTTAGGAGATCTCAGAAGCCGGTTTGCGGTTTGGACGCTGACCCCGTGCGCCAGGGGAGAGAAGAGACCGAGTCCGGTGTTCTTCAGGTGTCCTAAGGGACGTTGTCGCACGGCTGCCACCCACCGCCTCCCCATCTTCTCAGCTCACTGCGTCCGAGGCCAGCGAGGACCTGTTGCCGCTTGCCCTCTCCAGCGAGCCCTTGGGGCACAACCCCAGCTTTTAAATAATAATAATCTGGAGACCTTCTCCTGTAACATATGTTCACGGGGCCTTTTTCTGGGAGGAAACATACGTGACTGAATGTATATGTATATACATCTGCTTCCTTTCCCCCTCCCCAAATAAATACTCATTGGTAACTCGGATTTGGCCCTACAAGGTGCATCCCGCTGGAATTCCCGTGCCAGGGGCTGCCGTTCCTCCTCCCCCTGTGAGGTTTGAGCCTCGGCTTCGCTCTGGGGCAGGGAGAAGGAGATATTTAGGCTGGGGAGAAGGGGGCGGACGTGCGCCCCAGCTCCTCGCTGAGCCCCGGCGGCGTTAACCCTGCAGCAGGGCACGTTCACAGCTTCACCTGTGAATTATCCGTCCCGACGCTCCGGCCCTGTTTATCCCTGGATCTGGGAGATATTCCCAGTCTAGACAAGGAATAAACAGCCGTGGGGCCAGCCCCCGCCTTCCCCATTAACCCTCCTGTGCCTTTTGGGACCAAAGGGGGGGATATCAAGGATGGGGCAGCCGGGGGGTGGGAGGATTTGGGGACTTTGGGGTTTTTCCCCCCCAGTCCCAGCAATCACCGAAGTGGCTCGGCCGTGGCTACGCCGTGGTGCAAACCCAGGGTCACCGCAGAGCCCTAAAAATAGGAAACTTCCCGCAGCTTTTGGACCTGGGAAGCTCCGATTTCAAGCTTTCCGGTGACGCCGAGAGGGGTGGGCACGGGGGGGAGACCCCCCACAAGCGCAATGAGCTGGCCAGTCCTCACGCCCCCTGGGCTTCATCCGGCTGACGGCGGGGGGGGGCTGGCCGCCCGTGCCCCCCGAAACCGCCCTTCTTCGCCTTTTATTTCAATTTTATCCCGCCTTTTTGTTTGCAGAAACGGCCCTTTTTTTCCCTATTTGCGCCGGGGCACCGCCAAGTCACGTGAGACGAGGACGCCCGGGCCGGGATTTGGCTGCCGGGCGTACGTCGGTGCGCACCCTTCCCCGGGCCCCCCTCCGCCTCCCTGCATGAATTCCCTTATCCCCCCCAAACCGGTCCCCGCGTCGCACCGGGTTCTCCCACTGGTGGGGTACCGCCGGTTACCGATCTGGTGCTGGGAGCGACGGCCGGTTGCTTGGCCTGCGTCCTCACCAACCCGCTGGAGGTGGTCAAGACGCGGTTGCAGCTGCAGGGCGAGTTGCAGCCCCCCGGGACCTACCCCCGGCCCTACCGGGGGGTGCTGCGGGCGGTGGGGGCCGTCTGTCGGGCCGACGGGCTGCGGGGGCTGCAGAAGGGCCTGGCCGCCGGCCTCCTCTACCAGGGGCTGATGAACGGCGTCCGATTTTATTGCTATTCCTGCGCCGAGGACGCCGGCTGGACCGGGTATCCCGGTGGGACCGTGGCTGCCGGGGCTGTGGCCGGGGCGGTGGGAGCCTTCGTGGGCAGCCCCGCGTACCTGGTGAGTGCTGCTCTGCCCCTCCGGGGGGGTGCCGCCCCGCCCCAGAGGCCCCCGGTGCGGGGGGGGGGGGGAATTTCGGGGACCCCCCCTTAAAAGATTTGGCCAGCCTGGAGCGGGCTGCATCCTGTGAACACCGGCTCGGTGCATCCCATCTCCCCCTGCTTCGCTTTGCACCCCCAAAAACGTGGGGCTGCTTTGTGCATGCTCTCCCCCCTCCCCTTTTCTCTCCCAAATCCCCCCCTGTCCCAGAAACCCGAGGGGAGAACGCCCTCAGAAGGAAATCGGGGTGGGTTTCCCCCTTTTGGGGGGGGTCTCCCCTGTTTTGGGGGTTCAGAGCTCAAAGGAGGGGGCTGCAGTGAGCGTTTGGGGGGGCCCTTTGCCCTGGGGTGGAAAATGGGGTTCAAAGTCTGGAGGTGCCACTTGGAAACACATCTGGGCACCCCACGTGTGCCCGAGGGGCTCGACCCCCCCCAAAAGCTGCTAAAAAGAGATGGGGGGGCCGCACAGCCTGTCCCGGCGGGGGCTTGGGGGGTTCGTCACTCGGAGCTGTGTCCCCCCACCCAGGTCAAGACCCACCTCCAAGCCCAGACGCTGGCGGGGGGGGGCGGCGGCGGCGCCCAGGCCAACCACGAGTGGTGCGGGGATGGGGGGGGGGGGGGGGGGACACGACACAATTCGGTGGCACCTTGGCCGTGCACGCGCCGGGACCCGGTGAGGCCAACGCTATTTTGGCCACCGGGTATTTAAAGCTGCCGTTTGGCAGCTCAGCCCTGTATGGATGCTATAAATAACGGCGCGAGGATGGGGAGGGGGCGACGGGGACGCGGAGCTGTGACACCGGATCCGGACACCCCTCGGGACCGGCGTCACCCGGCCGGGGCCATGGTGGCTTCGTGCCACCGACGAGCAATGGGGTTTTGCATGCCGGGGTGGGAAATTTTGCCAGAGTGGGATGCACCGTTCTCGTTTTTCCCAAATTTCCTCTCTTCCCCAGAGCATCTCCGGGGCTTTCGAGAGTATCTACAAGCAGCACGGGGTGGCGGGGCTGTGGCGGGGGGTGACGGGCGCTGTGCCGCGCGTGGCGGTGGGCTCGGCCGCGCAGCTCGCCACCTTCGCCTCCGCCAAGGACTGGGTCTGCGAGCGCCAGGTGAGGAGGAAGGGGCGCCGGACCCGGCTCCCTCCATTCCCCTTTTCTTTGGGGGAAGAGCTGACGGCCGGCGCTTCCCGCAGTGGTTCGGGGAGGGCAGCTGGGCCGCGGTGCTGGCGGGGGGCATGGTGAGCGCCGTGGCCGTGGCGGTGACGATGACGCCCTTCGACGTGGTCAGCACCCGTCTCTACAACCAGCCGGTGGACGCCGACGGCACAGTAAGGCAAAAGATGGGGGGGACACACGGCTTTTCCCAGGATTGCGTCCGGCAGGGGTGCGCAGCCGGCTCCTCTCTCCCCAGGGCAAACTCTATCGGGGTTTTTTGGATTGCATCCTGCAAATCTCCAGCAAAGAGGGGCTGCTGGGCTTGTACAAGGGCATCGGCGCCGTCTACCTCCGCCTCGGCCCCCACACCGTCCTCAGCCTCTTCTTCTGGGACGAGCTCAGGAAGATGGTGCAGCACCAGCAGCCCCCGGGGCCGTAGGACGGGCTCCCGGCCCCACCGCCGCCGTTAATAAAGGGGTTTTTCTATTTTTGGCGTCGTTTCGGGGTCTTTGGGGCGGTGCAAAGAGGGGGAGGTTTCGTGCCCTGCAAAGCCAGGACCTGAAAAGCCACGATGGATCCGGCTGGGGAGGATAACGGCGATGCCGGGGTGGGGGAATTAAAGGTGCTGGCGGTCCCCGAGCCCCGCCATGTGCATCCCATCGCTGCGTCCCTCTCGCCACCCTAATTTCCCTTCCATGGGGCAGCTGGAGCCCCAGGAGGAGCAGCTGAGCTCCAGCTGCCCTCACTTGCCCCGGCAATGATTTACTAGCCGGGGGGGCCGCTCCCAGCCTCCGCCCCGTGGACCTTGGAGCTGGGGCCTGGCTATGCCGTGGCTCCTCTCCACCAAAAATGTTTTCTCTGGGGTCCTGGCTGCCGGCGTTGCCCGGGCTGGCGTGGGGCTGGGCGCTGCTGGATGCGCTCCTGCAAGGTGAGAGCCCTCGGGGGTGGCATGGGGACGGCTTGGGGATATCCCGGGGGACGCCGGTGACCCGCTGCTGCCTTTTCCCCGCAGGGTTGGTGGGTGCCTGTGCCGTCTCGGTGCTCTGCAGCCTCCTGAAGGTTTATCTCTACATCCAGTGCCTGAAGTAAGCCCCGGCCCTTCTTCCCTCCCGGGGGATTTGGTTTTGGGAGTCGCTTTTGGGATCCGGTATCGGGGGGCGGCTCTCGGCACCCACGGGTGCTGGCGGTGGCCTGAGCAGGCCTCCTGCACCCTCCTCTCCCCGCTGCAAAGCACGGGGGAGGTCTCTGAGGCTGTCGCCCCATTTTGGGGTGGCGGAGGAGGAAGGGGACGTCCCGCCCGGCTCAGCGTCCCCCTCGCTGTCCCCAGCGACGCGGAGAGGCAGGCGGAGAAGGAGGCAATCCGGGCGTGGCGGTGGGTGCTGGAGCCGCTGCACGTGGTGGTGCTGACGGGCGTGCTGGCGCTGGTGGGGTCCCGCGTGGCCGCGCTGGTGGTGCTGGAGTTCTCCCTGCGCGCCGTCTCCACTGTCCTCTCCCTCGGCAAGGTAAGACGGGATGGAGGAAACTGAGGCACAGCGGGGCGGTGGTGTGGAGGGAACCGTGAAGCTGTGCATCCCTTGCAGCTTTGCAAGGGGATTGCTTTGCAACCGTGCATCCCTTGCAGATTTGCAACAACTATGGGGGCTATAGGGGCTGCAGCATGGAGGAGACCGTGCGTGGCTTCGCAGCCGTGCATCTCCTCGCTGCTTTGCAGCCTCTATGGGGAGGAGGAGGATGCCTGGCATGGAGAAAACCGTGCGTCACTTTGCATGCATGCATGCCTTTGCAACTGTGCATCCTCTTGGAACTTTGCAACACCCATGGGAAGGACAGGGGAGACAGCATGGAGAAGACCATGCATGGCTTTGCAACCCTGCATCCCCTTGCTGCATGCAACGCCTGTGGGGCTACAGGGGTCTGCAGCATGGAGAAAACCATTAATTGCCTTGCAACTGTGCATCCCCTTGCAGCTTTGCAAAACCTGCAGGGAGGATGAGGGCTGTGGTATGCCTGAAATAATGCATCGCCCTGCTGCTTGCAGCACCCGTGGGGCATATGGGAGCCATGGCATGGAGGAGGCTATGCATCTTCTTGCTGCTTTGCAACCTCTGCAGGGTGGATAAGGATGCCTGGCATGGAGAAAACCATGCATTGCTTTGCATGCAGGCATGCCTTTGCAACTGTGCGGCCCCTTAGCTGCTTGCAACACCCATGGGGGTGCAGCGTGGAGGAAACCATGCATTGCTCTGCAGCCATGCATCCCCTCACTGCTTGCAACACCCGTGGTTGTTACGAGGAGGCTGCAGCATGGAGGAAGCCATGCATTGCTTTGCCGCCATGCATTCCCTCGCTGCTTTGCAACCTCCACAGCGGCTGACGGTGCTGTCCCGCTCTTGCAGGGTGCCCACAGCAGCCAGCTCTACCTGCTGTGCCAGTACTCACTGGGCTGCGGGGTGTCCTGCAGCCTCAGCTTCTTGCTGGAAGGGGCTCCTCACCGGACTTGCAACCTGGCGCTGGCGGTGGGGCTGGCGGGGCTGCTGGCTGCCTACGCCGGGCGCCTGGCTCGTCACGTCTGCACCCTCTACGAGTTGCACAGCCGAGCACGTTACTGCGGCATCTGCATCTTCCTCCTCGCCGCCGGTCACGGCATCCCCCAGCTGCTCCGGAACGCTTTGGCCATCACCTTTGCCGTGGCTGACCTGGCCGCCGTGGCGCTCATCAACCGGGATTTCCTCTCCACGGCGGAGGCCGTCCGCTTCTGGACACCGCTCACCATCTGCTACACGCTGCTGGTCATCTACATGCAAGGTGAGAAGGGGACCGAACCCCCAGTTATGGGGGTGTTTTTTGGGGGTGAGGGGGGTATGTCCCAGTATGGGGCATCCTGGGGGCGCATAGGAGGTATATGGGGCATCCTGGGGTTATAGGGGGTGTATGGGACATTCTGGGGCTGCATGGGAACATGGGGTCATGCTGGGGCTGTATAAGGGGTATATGGGGCATTCTGGGGGTGTATGGGGCATCCTGGGGCTGTATAGGGGTTATATGGGGCATCCTGGGGGTCTGTGGAACTGTATGGGACATCCTGGGGCTATATGGGGGCACAGAAGGCCACCTGGGGCCGTATAGGGGCTGTATAGGGGCATCCTGGGGCTGTATAGGGGCATCCGGGGGCTATATGCAAAGCCACCCCGTAGCATCCCTGAGATGCACGGCGTCCTCCAGTCGTGGGGCTGGGGAGGGAACAGGGTCTCCCCGCGGTGGCCGCCCCAACGCCGTGTCCTTGCAGAGGAGCCGCGGCAGAGCACCAGCGGGCAACCGGTTTACCAGATGGTGCTGGTACGGATGGGCGGCCTCTTCATCCTTCTCCTCACCGTTGGCCGTTGGACTGACATCCTCCACGTCCTCATCTCGCTGCTGGGAGAGCTCTGGTGCCTGCTCCGTGCTGGTGTCATGTTGGAGGCATGCCGGCGGCAGGTGAGATGGGGTAACCTCCCCGCCACGACGCCAGGGTGAGGGGCTGGCGGCAGCCCCAAGGCCACGGTGAGGAGCCTTTCTGCTTCTCTTCTTCCATCTCCCGTAGGATTTCACCCAGCGGTCTCGGTTGGATAGGTGGACAGGATCAGGATCAGAGGAGGCATCCTGATAAGCCGCGGGGTGTAACCGGGCATCAGAAACTCAGGGTGGCTTCACCTGGCTTCCCGAAACGCGGGCACCCCCCAGATCCTCCCCGTGGCAGATCCCCCATGGCGACAAAGGAAAATGGGCTCCAGGAAGGTGCTCGACCCCATCCCATGGGGTGGGGGAGGTTGGGGGGAGGCTCACACAGCCCCTGGTTTTTGGGGGGACCCCGCAAGGCTGTGGCGGTGCTGGGGGTTTGCTCCCTCATCCCGCTGCGGATGGGGGATGCTGATGGATGTCCCCGTCCTCGGCAGCTGCAGGGCCTCACCGTCACGGTGCAAGGGCCTCCGGGGGCTTATAAATCTCGGAAAATAAAGTTTTTTCCAGCAAAATCTGTGGGCAAAGCGAGCCGGAGAGGGGCTCAGGAATGGCCACGGTGCGGCTTTTTGGAGGAGGTGGGTGGTGCGGTTCGTCCCTGGGAAGGGAAACCGAGGCACGGAAGGGGTGACCCCCCCCAGCTGAGAGGTGCCCTTGTGCCTCAGTTTCCCCACCTGGCTGCAGCTGGCCGTGCCGTGCCACTAGGCCTTGTGCAGTTGGGGTGCACGATTTGGAGAGGCAAGGAGGCCCCGGCAGCGGCTGCTTCCCTGGGCAAGGCCCCCCCAGCCCTGGGCGGGGAGCGGGAGAGGGGCTGGGGCAGTATGGGGGCATATGGGGACATAGGGGGCCACCTGGGGCTGTATAGGGCACATGGGCATCCTGGGGGTGTATGGGATGGCACATGGGGCAACCTCTAGGGGTGTTGGGGGATCTGGGGCTGTATGGGGCACCCTGAGGGTGCCTGGG